AAAGCGATTTTGAAATATTGCAAATGATGGAAGAAGAATTCAACATGTCTCAATGAAGTTTGTAGTGCATATTTGATGCATAAGAAAATGCACACCTATGAACCCATTCATTCTTTACTAAAAAGGTTCATAAGCTACTGTTTATTACAATAAGATATATTATAAAATATTCAAATTGAAAAAATATTTTAAAATTTTATTTATTTATTTTTTCCTAATATTTTCAGCCAGATTTAATGAACTTGACATGTAAAAAGATTTCAGTTCTTATGAATCCTCTATTTGTAAACTGATAAACAAACAATTGCGTTTGGTTCATAAGATGAGCCAAATTAGTGACTACCTTGTCATGAAATGTGCCGTTATCGGCCGATACCAATATTTGGACAATCAATCGGAGCATCCCTACTATAAATACTTAAACTATACACATAACCCAAGACGAACTATCCAAGTACTTTTACATAAGACAGAGCAATTATTGTGCAAAAGAGGTATTTTAAGGTAAAGAAATCAAGTAGTGCAACATGATTTGTGGTACATTGACAGATAAACAAAGTTTTCCTTATCGAGTCCTTGTAAATTGAAGTTCAAGTAAAGTGTCCAGTGCATATAGAGAGAAGAGTGTTTCTACAGGTGGTTTGTCAAACCCACTCACTTGCGAAGCACACTCATGTTTTTATAGAGATATAGATTAATTATTAGAAAGTGTCTGATGCAAATGTGCAAGGGAAAAGAAACTATGAGTTTTTTACAGGTGGTTTGCATTGACCTTTTTCTAAAATGCAGAAGTGCACTTGCTTCCGATTGAGTTGCCTATGGGAGAAATGACTAGTAATAATTAACATTAACGTCAAACTAGATGCTCTATAATCAAGTGCATTCAAGACTATACTTAAAAAGTAGAATAAGACTATAAGAAAATATCATTTTGCAACATCAAGCAGCTGTTTTTAATGTCTAGAAATCAATGGAAGAGAATGAGACCAGAAGAGTCGAGCTAAAAAGATTCCAATGACTCACATGCTCAAACGCAAAGAATAAGGACGATAGTATTGTATTGGTTGTACACATGTTATTGCCGTGCTTTGTGAGTCCACTCTGGTTTCAGACACCACCACAAATGACTGCTCCATCAAATACAAATCTATTTAAGTGTAAAGGGGGCAATTTCAGATACAGCCTTAGTGAATTTCTTCCTAATCTTATTTTGAATTCATAGTGAATTAAGGATGCCTCAGACCACACTAATAATAAGATTGTCCAAATGACATATTTTTGAATTCAGTCTCTAACTGCTGAAGAAAACTTTCTCTCCAATGATTATGTTCTACAGTTTGCTGCGTTCCATAATTAAAGAGGGCTAAAGACATGCTTGACTGTCTCTCTCTTTTCTCAGGTTGCAGCCGCAGGCGTTTAGCCGCTCATCCTAGTGTTCAGCGTTTGACATTGTTCAGTGCTGTACTGACAGATATTTCAGTGTCTTGTTAGATGGAAAGACTAATTATTAGTGACACATACTTTACAAGGATTTGCACATCAGTTTGAGCCCCATCAGCAGGTGGCCATTTCACCTTCTCATGCCAGTCAGTGGATCTCCCTTCCTGTAACACTATCTTCATCAAAGCAGTTAAAAATTCATCATGGGTTTTCAGGACCTCCACGTTTACTGATAATTTGATTTGAGTAGATAAGTCGCCCGCTGATGTTCTGTTCAGAGCCACTTAGAGGTGACACTGATGACAGCCTGTTTACAGGTAATGGATACACTGTACATGCTGCTACTATAGGCTTTTGTTAAGAGTACATTCAAGAAGGTGAATAATGAAGTGCATACAGATGCATTCCAGTATGTAAAATATTGATTATGGTTGTTAATTCATACAAATTAATTTTAAAAGTAAGCATTTGCTGGTGCAGCTAATGTGTATAGTCCATTTAAAACAACTCTAACTTACTGTAAATTAGGCATGGGCGGGTATAAGACTCTGACAGTATGATAACCTTGGATAAAAATATCACGGTTTCACGCTATTGTGATTACTGCTCCAAAATAAGTTATTTTCAAATACTTGGGTAAAAAATAACGGTAACACTTTAGAATAACTATCCGTTATAACTAGTTAATAGATCATTATTAAACTGTTAGTTAATGCTTTATAAATGGCTTGTTAAATAATAGTTAATAGTTTGTTAATATTTATAAGTACCTGTTAAAACTAGTAAATAAACTATTAATAAACAATTAGTTAATGAGTTATAAATGACTTGTTTAATAAAAGTTAATTGTTTGTTAATTATTTATAACTGTGCCTTATAGATAAATTAGAAGCTGTTAGTTAACAAGTTAAAAATTACTTGTTAACTGTATTTTAATGATTTATAACTACATCTAATAAATTCATAAGATCATGTACAAGCTGTTGGTAAATTGTTTACTAAAGACTTGTTAAGTATCAGTTAATATTTTATATATGTTATTAGGACGTTATTCTAAAGTTGCAATAATTATTTTATTAACTGTTAGTAAATGAGGAATTGCTGCAGCTTTAGAATAACGTCCCAATAACATACATAAGCTAATAACTAACACTTAACTAATATATTAACTCACACTTTACAGACCAGTTGTTCATAGTTTAGCCATCTACTAATACCAGTGAAACTCTGTAGAACAGCAAATGATGGAACAAGTTCAAGCTACAGGAATTTGATGTGGTATTTAAAATATAAAATGCTTGTACTTTAACCTTGTTCCACTCATAGGCCTTTCTGTGTGCTGTATTTTACCAAAGAAACAATGTTGAACATTGTGTTTAATGTATAGAAACACACATACTGAGCTATCACATGGCAAAACAGCAGTATACAGCAGAATACAAACCCATCAGGTTTGGGTACCTTTTGCAATAAACATGAAAACAAAATAAATAAATCAATATTTTATTAGAAAAGTTCTTCAAAGTTTCACTGGTGTTGGTAGATGGTAAACAAACTATGAACAACTGATCTGTAAAGTGTGAGTTAATATATTAGTTAAGTGTTAGCTATTAGCGTATGTATCTTATTAGGACATTATTCTACTGCTGCAGCCTCATGTACTAACAGTTAATAAATGAAGAATAATTGCAACTTTAGAATAACGTCCCAATAAAATAAATAAACTACTAACTGAAACTTAACAAGTCTTTAGTAAACAATTTACCAACAGCTTGTTCATGATCTATTACTAATGTATTAGGTAGAATTATCTATCATTAAAATACAGTTAACCAGTCATTTATAACTTGTTAACTAACACCTTGTTCGTTATCTATTGGTTATCTATAAGGCACAGTTATGAGTAATTAACAAACTATTAGCTGAGCAGACTTAGCATTTAGCATGATAATATTTTCTACTCCATGTTAAATGTTTAAGCTAAATGTTTGTAAGTTAGGCGAGTAAATTATGTTTATGCTACATAATAGATTATTGTGGAAGTTATGTGCATGATTAAATCATGTAAGTCCAAGGTTTTTTTCTTCAGTGTGTGGTGAAAACTGTGAATAATTATCCCTAAAATGTACTAGTGCTGAGTGTTTTTTAGCCTAAAATCAAAATCTTGATTAAGTGAACAGTGCAATTACGATTTATGAACAAAATTTTAATTTAATTTAATTTTATTTTATTTTATTGTTTTGCCCTCATAGTTCATTGACGAGTAAATACAGTAAAGTACAGTACAGTACAGTAAATATGCTCACATATTACAAGAGAGAGATTTTTGAAGGAAAGGTGCATTAAATGGCTTGATAAATTGATTGATTTTAAAATAATTAAAGGAAACATACACTATCTATTATGGTTATTTATTGAACATCAAAGTTGAAAAACTAAAGTTAAAAACACACATTACCTAAAACAAACTTTTCTTATAAAAAGGGAAAATAAATAACTTGCCTTTTGGAAACAGTGCTTTTCATATAAAAAGTATCAAAAGAGCTTTATCTCTTCTAAAATAAAAATAACTCTTGTATATCCTGTAAATAATGTTAAACTGCATTTTTTTTGCGTCTTCTGTAAACAAATATTTTAATGTAAATAATAATTTTATTGTAATGAAATATATGCCATCTCAAGGCATCTCAGGCGCAACTTCCAATCATCTACATCTGACCAGAGATCAGATGTGGTTGCAAAGTGGCAGTGGAAGCTTAAACCAGCCTCAGCCTAACAGAGTTGCATCATGTGAATCCACACGCAATACATTTTTATATTATTTTGATTATAGGTTCTGAATATTGATTTCAGTTACTTTTTCAATTATTCGCCCAGTCCTAGGATGTACAGTAAGAATATTTCATAATTAAAGTCAAGATTTCTTCTAGAAAAAAAGTTGTGCCTTTTCATATAAGCTGTGCTGTCCTCTTCTAAAATGTTTTTGTTTATTTAATTTTTTATTTAATTTTTTTTACAAATCATAAAAAGCCTTCATTTTGTGACTTCTCATCCTTCAAATAATCATCAAAGGCTCACTGAATGGCTGTAATTATGAAGTGGCTCTGTGTCCTTGACTGCTTGGTCTTATAGTAATTGCTCAGCACTGTAACCTTGGCTCTTTGCAAACTCAAAGGATATCAAACAAAAGACCCATGTGGACTTCTGATTGGCTCATGGGCCTGAAAGTACAGTAGTGCTGTATCCAGGCTGCATTTCAGTCTCTGACAACTTACACTCTGTGTCAGAGTGAGAGTTACATGTGCAGACTTTGGCCCTGGATACACATAATGAAAATACGGTTAGTTCAGAACTATTCATATGTGCTGCTGACCTCATGTCTTACATGTCTCATGTACAGTATGAGATTGAATACAAAATTGAGATGAAAAGAAATTCTTGCTGCAGTACATTTATTTATGCATCATGATGAAACTTAATAGTTGAAAGGCATGGCATAATATCATCTATTTTTTTCGAAGACCATAAAGTATGTGATGGCTTTTTTTCTGTGTTTTTAGGAACCTCGGGAAATCTGGCTTACGGGTATCATGTCTAGGGCTGGGTGAGTAAAAATCATCATCTAAATTGTCAAAAATGTGAATTAAAGCATGTCCTAACAACACATGGTGAGACAAAATTCAATGAACAAGCAGTTTAGCTGTTTACACTAGAAACAACAGAAACAGAAATACCAGAACCATTCAGAAACACAGAATAGTTCACTGCATTCCCAAGCAAACAGACAGGTTTATGATCTAAATTATAAATATTAATTAAACCTCATTAACATTATTACAATTACAGACTGAGAGACTGTTAGTGTTGGTTTGCAACGAGTCACAGTTCTAACACTCATGTTTAATCTGTATAGTTTACTAGTAACTATCTGCTTCCGCATTCAGTATGACAATAAATGCTATTTAAAGTAAAATGTTATTAAAACTCATATTGGAACATTTAAACCTGAGTATCGCACATACTCACTGCCTGAGGTAATCACTGTCATAGTAGTGTATGTGTTTGTTAAGCCACGTTGCAGAAATAGAAGCTACAGTCGTGGATGGTTAGTACAAAACCTCCTTGTAACATGAGAAAAGATATTTTTTATGGCATGTCGCACTGCCGTGTCACATGTTATTAAGACATGGTGTTAGGATTCAAGCTGCTTTACATAATTTTGTATAAAGCTGAATGTTTGACATCTGACATCTTCTAAACATTCCCTCTCCAGGGACTTGGGTAACTTTTGGTGGACAAATCACTGATGAGGTATGATTTTGTGGATTGTAGCTCCATTTATTTGCTCAAAAATGATTGGATAGTAGTGTTATAGTGGCATGATCACACTTTTGTTGCATGAGTTTGGATAATCAGTGGACAATTTTCACAATTTTCCACTGAATACACGATTGATGGACAGATAAATAGACTTGGTGGATGGATGGATGGATGGATGGATGGATGGATGGATGAATGGATAGATGGACATACAGATGAATAGGATGGATGGATGAACTGAAGGATGGATGTATAGATGTACAGATGGATTGATGGGTATATAACTGATAAACGGATGAATGGATGTAGAAGGTTGAATGGATGCACAGACAGAGAGATCCTTTATACTTATGGATTGATGGATGGATGGATGGATGGATGGATGTATAGATGTACAGATGGATTGATGGATATATAACTGATGAACGGATGAATGGATGTAGAGGGTTGAATGGATGCAGACAGAGAGATGCTTTATACTTATGGATGGATGGATGGATGGATGGATGGATGGATGGATGGATGGATGGATGGATGGATGGATGGATGGATGGACGGATGGATGGATAGATAAATGGATAGAAAGACGGATGGATGGATGGATGGATGGATGGATGGATGGATGGATGGACGGATGGATGGATAGATAAATGGATAGAAAGACGGATGGATGGATGGATGGATGGATTTACATGGTTGATAGATGGACAAACATATATACTTATGGATGGATGAATGGACAGAAAGATGGATATACAGAAAATTTATGGATGAATGAATTGATGGATAGATCGATGAAAGGACAGACACACAAAATATACTGATGGATAGATGAATGGATGGATGGATGGATAAAAAGATGGATGGATGGATGGATGGATGGATGGATGGGTGGGTGGGTGGGAAGGTAGGTAGGTAGATAGATAAATAGATAGATAGATAGATAGATAGATAGATAGATAGATAGATAGATAGATAGATAGATAGATAGATAGATAGATAGATAGATAGATAGATAGATAGATAGATAGATAGACAAACTTTTTACATTTTTATGTATTTATTTTATGATATGTCTTATAAAGTCCTACGAGCCCACTGTATTACCCCTTTAATCTTAGAGCTCAGTGCACTGTTTATGGCTACAATAAGCAGCTCTGCAGAACACTTTAACTGTAGCTTTAGTCAGCCTCTGCTGTACAGTATCTGAACCGCAGCACTGGATACAGTACAGATTTATTACAACCATTTGATATTCTCTGTCTGTGATCTCTCTCTCTGTTTTTTCAGATTGCTGAGCAGCTGATGACGCTGGCGTATGAGAACGGCATCAATCTGTTTGACACCGCTGAGGTGTACGCGGCAGGGAAGTGAGTATCCTGGCTGATCTCCCATCATTTACTGCTGCTCTCTTCACCCTCAATAGGGATTTACACTCATATATGAGGAGATTAGTAAAGAATTAAGTCCATTTTTAGCAATTTCATCTTTTAAAAATATGTAGAGACTTACTTTTCAGTAGATCTGATTGGTCGGAAATGTTTAAAGAAATGTACTTTTAGTTTGTTATTAACACAGAATATACACTCTGTAGCGCATTTTGTGGGCACCAAACAGTTTATTTTGCAACATCTACAGTATTCTAAATATTTAGGTTAAAGTCTTTTTTTTAAAACATAAAATTATAAATTCTTATTTAAAATATTATAAAATCAATAATAGTGTAATAAATTAAACACGTATTTATACATTTATGAACATTGATTAATATTAATTAATACTTTTTTTTAGATAAATGTAATTAAAATTTATTTTATTTTGAAAATAGAATTGTTCTATTTTTTAATTTATGTATACAGTATACAGTACATTGTATACAATGTGTACAGAATATCGAACAGGATATGTATATCTGTGAAATGATTGACGTTGGACAACGGAGTAGAGGATCCACGTGTAGTATTTATTAACAAGAATAGTCAGGCAGGCAAAGTCAATCACAGGAGCAAACAAGTGCTTTCAGAGAATCGTCAGTAAACAGGCGAATGGTCAGGACAGACAGTGGAAACAAAGGCAGTAAATAAAAGGAAAAAAAAGGGTGAACACGGCTAGGCTAGACAAAGTAAACGCATCATAATGTTCACTAACAGTATAACAAGACTCAGCAACTAGTGTTTGTCTATGCTGTCCATTTAATTAGTTCATAATGATCCTCCAACTGTGTGCGGGTGTGTAATCAAAGTGAAACAGGAACAGGTGTGAGTGTGTGGTGCATGACAGAATTGTAGTTCTTTTGATGGCAGATTTGTAGTTATCCAGCTATCTGTATGGGCTAGATTGCTGGTGATTGTGACAATATCAAATATATTTATTTGACTGAAACAGCATACCTGTCCTCACAATTACATATTATAATCCATGAAATAAAAAAAGTCATGGAAAATGATATTATATATATTTTAAATGGCTAAAATAGTCTCTTTTAATACATGATCTAATTATTTCTTTCTTATTTTTTCGGTCTTTTCATTCTTTATTGTAATGAAATATCAGTAGGTGTTTTATTTATGGGTAGATGATGTCATTATTATTTTTGCTTAGAATAAGTAGGCCACATTTTAATGTACAAAAAAGTAGTTTATTTTGTAACTCTTTATTTTTGCTGAATTTCATCGTCTTACAACATGCAAGTTCTTCTTACTGCATTCTTTAGGTATCTATGTTTAAGACGACCTAGTGAAAAAAAAAAAGTATAGTGATTGGTCAGCAAAATTCACTTGTGCAAGAAGAGAAAAAAGATGGAAAGGTGAATAGCCCAATCCTGCTAGCTTGCAGTAAATTTAGCAGTGGCGTCTTTATTTTCTGCAATGCCGTGGAACTGTAACGTCAGGGAATTGCTGATAAAGTTGAGAGAAAATTGCCTGACTCAGTGGAAATACGCTCAACGATACAAAACGGCTCTTTAATGAAGCAGACCTCAGGAGTGTTAAAGGACATAACCTTATATATATATATATATATATATATATATATATATATATATATATATATATATATATATATATATATATATATATATATATATGGTGTCTGTGTGCTTTTGTGTCGCATTTTCCATCTGTGTTTCATGCCATGTCAAGCTGGCCATGAGGCTGTGGCTCAGCACATCGATAACTCATGCAGAATAATGAAGAGAGTACTGTAAACAAACTAAAGCACAGGCAAACAAACCATCCTGTATCACTCACAAACAGGCTGTGTTCACATTGGCAACACATCACGCTTATTTATAATTGTAAGCATGACCTAAAAAATATATATTGACAAGTACCAAATAGGAATAAAACAGCTTTGCTTATTTCAAACTATTGTTTATTGCAATTCTCAAGTTGCAAAATCTGCATAGTAATGAAATTACTCTTTTGACATCAGCAGCTCCTATTGAACATTTCCTGTGTCAGTGAGCATCTTGGTTCACAGTAAATGATCTACATGAACTTCATCTCTCTGAATAAAGGTATTTTCTGTGTAATGCTCATTTGAAAATGTAGAAAAGTTCAAGAACTCCACAGGTAGTGTACATTTAGTTTGTTTTTATAAATGCATTCAGTTTAATGTTTCTCTACTTTAGTTTGCCTGTATGTAAAAGAAATATATTTAATTGAGTAATTAATCCAGGGCGACAGGGTAGCTCATTGGTTAGCACTGTCGTCTTACAGCAAGAAGGTCCCTGGTTTGAGCCCCAGCTGGGTCAGTTGGCACTTCTGTGTGGAGTTTGCATGTTTTCCTCATGTTTACGTGGATTTCCTCCGGGTGCTCCGGTTTCCCCCACAAGTCCAAAGACATGTGGTACAGGTGAATTGAATAAACTAAATTGGCCTTAGTGTATGTGTATACGTGTAAGAGTCTTTGGGTGTTTCCCAGTACTGGGTTGCAGCTGGATAGGCATCCGCTGTATAAAACCTATGCTGTGGTTCATTCCACTGTGGCAATCCCTGATGAAGAAATGGACTAAGTCGAAGCAAAATGAATGAATGATTGATTAATTAGTTCAATCAAATCTGCACATTCTGTTCCATAGTTAAGGTTGGCGGAAAAACTATTTATGAATGGTACAATTTTTGAAATCATTGATGAGAATGGTAGAATGCTGGTTTTAGCTCTGAAAATGTGTCTCAAAATGTTTTGTTCTAACAGCTGATTAGGTTTGCGTACTGTCTGTATGAATCTGTTACTGAAGTCAAGCATGTGCACTATTTTGGTGCATTTTCACTGTATATGTATTATGGCTCATTACTAGGGGGTTTCCTATGGAGCCAGATCAGTCTGCAAAAAAAAAAAATTAATTTACAAAATAAAACTCAAATGTGCACAGCATTATTCACATTGACAAGAAACGAGGCATTTTTGTGAGCATTTGTGGAAAAATCATGCTTTTTGCATTAATTTACACTTTGGATTTACGAGTTGAGTTTTGAGTTTATGAATTGGCTTTTGTAAATTTGAATTGTATTGTGCAAGTTGAAATTATATTGTGCACGTGAATTGTTTTGTGTTTTTAGGGTCATCTGGCTCCATAGTTGCCACTCTGTACAGAACCCAAAACCTGATAATAGTTTCAGCACCACTATGGTTTCTAAGTGACCCAGTAGAGGTGGAAAATCTATACAGTAGTGATGTCTATATTAATGCCTCAACTTTAAAACAGTACAAATCTGCAGTGTAAAATAAAACCGAGCAAATGTAATGCACACTGAGCCAAGCTTTTTTGTTGTTGTTGTTGTTTAATTGCATTATAACATGGGCATCATGGTAGCACAATCGCCTCACAGCAAGAAGGTTGCTGGTTCAAGCCTCGGCTGGGTCAGTTGGCGTTTCTTAGAGTTTGCATGTTCTCCCAGTGTTTGCATGGGTTTTTCTTCTGGGTGCTCCGGTTTCCCCCACAAGTCCAAAGACATGCGGTATGAGTGAATTGGGTAAGCTAAACTGTCCGTAGTGTATGAGTGTGAATGAGAGTGTACAGATGTTTCCCAGTGATGGGTTGCAGCTGGAAGGGCATTCGCTGAGTAAAACATATGATGGATAAGTTGGCGGTTCATTCCGCTGTGGCGAACCCAGATTAAGATGGGGTCAAAAAGATCAAAAAGGGACTAAGCCGAAAAGAAAATGAAAGCATGCATTATAACACAAATACAATAAGGCAAAAGTCGATTAACAACTTTCATCTTACAGATCAGAGCACAAATAATCATCAAACAAATTAGATAATAATGCAAATAAATAAAATTTAAACATAGAATAGGCACACAAACAAAAAACATTTACATTACTCGGTCTTCTATGAATTTAACATTTTTTAGTAAGCTAACCTCTTCTTCCTAATTTTAATTTTAACAACTTTAAAGATTTACAGTATAACCTAAATTCCTTTTGGAAAATCAGAAGCAGGGGATTGAAACACTTGCATTTATGAATTAAAAATTTCTCAAAAATTAGAATATTGTTCAATACAAATTAAATATTAACAGCTATATATATATATATATATATATATATATATATATATATATATATATATATATATATATATATATTTATATATATATATATATTATTTTGATGGTCCATTTGAGTATTACTAGACTGTCCTTTAACTAACTGACTATAAGAAACTGTGCAAGTACATGCCAACTTACACTAGCCCTAACCCCAACCTAAGTCTACTTATAATCTAATGAGAATTAGATGACCTGTAGGTGCAATGTAACAAACGGAGCATCAAAATAAAGTGTGACCATATTTTTTAAACTGTTCCCCAAAACTAAAATTCTAACTATTCTAAAGCCATTAGAATAAATCTAGGAAAGCCTAATTCCAGGATCATTCATTTATAACTATAATCAATCTAGTTCTGGGTTGCAGCTGGAAGGGCATCCTCTGTGTAAAAAAACATATGCTGGATAAGTTGACGGTTTGTTACACTGTGGTGACTCCATATGAGTAAAGGGACTAAGCCGAAGAAAAATGAATGAATGACTGAGTACAGTGTGGTTGTCATTCACGGTTAACCAAATCATATGTGAAAGTAACGCAAATACATAACTGACATCCTTATTCGCCTCTTTTGTTAACCTGACCCTACCAGTTTATTTTCAGGAATACTAGTTAAGTTAAAAAGCAAGACGTGCAGTTTGTACAAATTAATGTACTGCCCTCTTGAGCCCACGTTACAATAGCGCTTCATTTGTTACAAGCTGTCACAAGGACTCACAGTTTGGCGTTGGGATGACGAGGGCTTTTGGGAGAACCATTCATGAAGAACACATTAGTCCTGAGGGCAAAAATGTAACATCTGTCATTAGATGTTCTCTCCAACTCTCTCCCTTTTCAAAAAATCTGCTCACAGGAGAAAAAACAGGAAGCATTTTGCCCGTGTTTACACTAGGAGTCTCTTTCATATTGCTGTAAAGTAAACGCTTCATTAGCTTAATTTTCCAGAAGCTGAGAACAGGGAATCCCCCAGTGTAGAGGATGCTTTTGCTTCCTGACTGATGCAAGTGAGGACAGTGACAGTGAGGATGTTTTTGGTTTAAAAGTGAGGTTGATTTTTGCTTTTTTTTTGCTTTCTTACAGGGCTGAAATGGTCCTCGGCAGTATCATCAAGAAGAAAGGATGGAGGTACGCATGTTCTTTTGCCGTTTAAAACATTGGCAAACTCTCATTTGAAGTCATGTTTGAGTGCTGTTTTCTCCTCATCAGAGTGTCAGAATAACTGCTGATATCCTCTCAATGAATATAAGCTTGCCTTTACCTTGCGTTTTTGTTGGTTTGTGAATGACTAATGTAGAATTTGCTCTTAAGGGGACATCAGCTTTTATTTATCCTGCCATTCACTTTATGCGAGCACTGAGGCGAAAAGCTGCTTCCCCCCCAGGGAAAAGATGTCTAATTTTGGAGCCAAGTTTTTGCCCTTTTTAGAAACATGGCATGACTGCAGTTTCAAGTGTATGAAAAATCTGCTTCTCTTGGGAGAGGAGAACATTCCTGTCCAAATGCCCTTTATTTATCATCATCTGCAAAGAATTTAGAATATGTTTTATTTAAACGGCAAGATGTAAAAAATTCTGAAGTATTATTATTCTATTATTCTAAATATTATTATTTTATCTACCGCTTTAGTGCTAATGCATTCTTCTAGTAATATTCTAAATTATTTGAGGGTTAATGCATTAATTAGCATTTTAAATATAGAAGAACAGTTGTGATAGTTGATACAAAACATTTCTAATTTAAAAAAAAATTTAAAGTTAGGATTGTCAAATTTGTTTCTGTTATGCTTAATAGCAGAATAATGAGAGAGATATTTTTTGAGAAATTGTTATAACTTTTCTTGAAATTCAAGTTTACATACAACAAAATGATTATGCCTCTGAAAAAGTTCAGATGATGGTGTCAAGGTTTTAGAGGTTTTTGATTGGCTAATTGACAACATTTGAGTTAATTGGAAGCACAACTGTAGAATAGTATTTAGTGAAAGCCTTAAACACACTGCTACCTTTTGTGACAACATGGGAAAATGAACAAGCCAGAATCAACAAAAAAATCCAGATTATAATTTGTTAAATTACACTGGGAAAAGAATAATTAAGACATCTCCTGTGGTCTGATGGAACTAAGATTGAACTGTTTGGCCACAATGACCAGTGTTATATTTGGAGGACAAAGGGGAAAGCGTAGAAGCCTAGGAACACTATCCCAACTATAAAGTATGGGGGCGACGGCATCATGTTGTGGGGCTGTTTTGCTGCAGGAGGGACTGGTCCACTTCACAGCATGAATGGTACTGTATCATGAAGAAAGAACATAATGTAGAAATACTGAAGCAACATCTTAAGACATTAGCCAGGAAATTATAACTTGGCCGCAAATGGCTCTCCCAAAAAGACCATGACCGTAAGCATACTGCCAAATTAGTTAAAATGTGCTTTAAGGACATTTTGTTTTGGAGTGGCCATCACAAAGCCCTGACCTTAATCCTATAGAAAATTTGTGGGCAGAAATGAAAATGTGTGTGCGAGCATGACAGCCAACAAATCTGACTCAGTTACACCAATTCTGTCAGGAGGAATGGGCCAAAATTCCTTTGAACTATTGTGAGAACCTGGTGAAAGGATACCCAAAACATTTCACCGAAGTTATACAGCTTAAAAGCAAAGCTAAAAAATACCAAGCTGTCTAGAAATTAATTAAAATTCTCCAAACAAAATTATCTTATTATTCTGGCAAATGTAAATTATTTAGGTAATCCTAACAGACCTAAAATAGTAAACGTTTAGTAAGATTTACCATCAGACATAAAAAAAAAAAAAGTTATGTTCCTTTTTTTAGAGTATGTAAACTTCTGGTTTATATATATATATAGTATATATATAGTTATTATATTATAATATATTAGTTAGTTAGTTAGTTATAACTTAGTTATAGTTATTTAGTTATAATATAATACAATATACATTTTACAAATTTCAAAACTATATCTAATATATACCGTATAATAATAAGTCATATACTACAAAGCATGTTTTCAAATGAATGCACAAAGTTTAAAGCCATTGTTGTTATATGATTTACTTCAAATAATGCAATAATTCAAGTTCAAATATAATACTTTCCAGTCTTTTCATTTCACTCCACTGACTTTCTTAAGTAATTTATTTATTGTCCATTGACTATCATGGAGTCCTTGCCTTTGTATCACTTCAAACCCATCTTTCTCTCATCTGTCTTTCACAGACGTTCCAGTTTGGTCATCACCACAAAAATTTACTGGGGTGGAAAGTAAGTGCTGTGCTCTTATGTTAGTGTTTATGTGTATGTGTGTCACAAAGAGGTTAATGATGATTCATACTATCTGCCGACTGTGAGAGCAACAGGGGAAGCAGGTTAATGATAGTCTCTTTTATACAAGTGTGTACGGTGTAGTAAGGGAAGTCCTGCAGACCCTCATTGGAGAAGGATTCAGGTCGAATGCCCCCTCTGAGCTGTGCTCTTTCACTCAGGGCAAATTAAAGGCCAAAGCTGAGCACTGTTGTGAGGTCACCATTAAACATTAATGCCTTTAAATTGCCACGGTGCTCACATTTTGATAATAATTAGCCTCGCATACAGAATCAGTGGCCATACTGAATTTGACCTTTAGTAAATTCACCCATGAGCATCACCTTGAAGCTAAAAGAGACAGATCTTTTTTTCTATATTGTGATTTGACTGAAATGGATTATTGGGGAAAAAAAAGTATGGTTTCAATTCATCAACTTTGAGTGGATGGATGCATGCAGGATTTCAGCTAAATTGGATGAAATGATTGAAGAAATGAACAGAAAAACTCTCTACAATAAGTTGAATGACAAGAATTTAGAAATACCGTTGTCTTTAAAGACACTAGTAAACTTCAATTCACTTAAATGTGTAATTGTTACTTTCCTGTTTGTTTTTTCAGAGCAGAAACAGAGAGAGGCCTATCTAGAAAACACATCATAGAGGGTAAGTCCTGTTAGCTGTATTGATGATTTAATTTTATATTTTGAGGACAAAATTTTGGGACTAAAATTGTCAAGCAGGACCCACTTTAAACTAAGTTATAGTTTAACAACTGTGAGATTTTGAATTCTTACTTAAAAAGAGTGACTTGAAGAAGGTGACTGGATCAGCGTACTTTATTTTTAAAATTGCAAGGCTTGGTTGTTGCTTCTGGTGAGCAGTTTTTTTTTTTATTAAATTGTTCTGAGATGGGACAAACCACACTGCCATAAGCTCACCAATGCTTGATGACAGTGAAGACTATCTCTTCTGGTCCAAGCCAACAGTACGCCCAATCCCAGTTCTATTTTTGTACCCCTACCCCTTCCCTTGAAACAGAGTGTGAAATCACCTAAGGCATATATCATGTTATCATACTGATACAATGTGGCGATAAGATCGTAAATGTACTGTACATTTAGGCCATATTCATCTATGTAAACACACAAAAAGACAACATTATACCAGACACTTTAAAAAGGTCATTCCCAGTCACTAGGCTTTTCTGACACAGTATTTGAGTGTCATCGAATGACAGAATGTAGTGGGGCTGCTATACAGGAGTTGTTATTATTATGGATTATAGCAAAATTTAGCAATTTTTATTTTACTGGGTCTTTTAAAAAGCATGGCGGCAAAACAAGAAAGCGGTTATGAATGTATTAAAACATATACTTGTTTGTTGTAAAAATTTTTAATAATGACAAAAAATACTAATTTCTGCATCTCCTGACTTCTGTGTGCAGCCATGCTGCTGTTGTAGCTGGTGTATTCTGAGAAAATTTCTTACCTCTTGGTTTCGAGAGTGGTCCTGAAAAATCTCAGTTTGAAGGGCTATCTAGCCCTTTCCCTTATCCCTACGCCTTCAAGCTAAAGATAATCATTTTGCGCGTTTACGTGAATAGTAAAGGGAAAGGGCTAAGGGGTAGAATTGGGATTAGGCCTAGGTCTACTGTGACACAAGTAGCAAATTGTAATGATAAGGTTCCCTCCTTCCATAAAAACCCAGATCCCTCATCTGATGAAGGCCGATGAAGGCCATGTCAATATATTGTATCGTCCAAGAGGTTCAGAAACCATAATGACATCCCAAGAATGCATTCTTGAAGATGAATGCATTTCTGAATGCATGCAAGAATCCCAAGGGTGCAAGTGGAACTGAACATTGAAGCATTAACTTAAGGTCAATTGGTCTGTACTTGTTTCTTTCATATAACATATATATCACTTTAGGATAGACAATGCAGTGGCGCAGTAGATAGTGCTGTAGCCTCACAGTAAGAAGGTCACTGGTTCGAGCCTCGGCTGGGGCAGTTGCCGTTTCTGTGTGGAGTTTGCATGTTCTCCCTGCATTCGCGTGGGTTTCCTCCGGGTGCTTCTGTTTCCCCCACAGTCTAAAAACATGCGGTACAGGTAAATTGGGTAAGCTAAATTGTCCGTAGTGTATGAGTGTACTGGACAAGTTGGTGGTTCATTCTGCTGTGGCGACCATGGATTGATAAAAGGGACTAAGTTGAAAAGTAAATGAATGAATGAATGAATGAATGATCATTTTAGGATAGTCATAAGTGAGTGCACGGGTGTCCTGCTGTTTCAGGCCACATACATATGACACTTGTACTTCCAAGTATGATCCATAGTAGTTCCATCATATGGCTACAGGACTTGACAGATTTGTTGCTCACGTATTGGGGCTAGATACCACAGGGAACCTGCAAGGGTCTAGTAGAGTTCATTACCCTATTCTGCATTACAAAGGCAAAGTAACTACACACTTAGGCAAAATTGAGTTAAAATAGAATTTTGTGACATCTGTTCTGTCTGCTGCTTGAATTTTGACCCATTAAAAAAAGAGTGTCAAAATTGCTGCAACTACAAAATCCAAGCTGGCGTTAAAGTATTTTTACAGTCATGCTGCGCTTTTCCTTTGTAGGGTAGAGTGGTTTGGCACTGGTCATAATGCTTTGGCTTATCGGTGTAAATAAACTGTACTAAAGACTCCTAATATAAAGTGATTAAACAAAGCCCAAATAAGAACCTTTAAATTCTTTTGTCTTTAACAGCCATAAACATTACTGCATTTTTTTGACCTACAGGTCTAAGGGCATCACTGGAGAGACTTCAGTTAGAATATGTGGATGTAGTGTTTGCTAACAGACCTGACCCCAACACGCCAATGGAAGGTAAGTGTGCTTGATGAGATGCTGGCCAGTTTGTGTCATCTTTGTGTACCAGCACTGGAATGGCTCTCCTGATTGCTTTGCACTGAAGCATGGGATTAAAACAGACCAGCCACGCAGCTCTTAACTTATCAGGAATCAGACACTTTGAGACCAACAGCAGAGATTTGTTTAACCCCAAAACACAGCATTCCTAAAAATAGACAATCATCCCATTAAATTTCAATGCGTTACAACAGGGGTTTTCAAAGTGTGAGGCGCGCCTCCCCTGGGGGGCGCCAGAGCATGTCAGGGGAGGCGCGGGAAAAAATATAATATAATAAAAATATAATAATAAAGTTTAATTGTATGTATTTTTTTTTATTATATTTAAACGTTTATTATATGCCTGCTAATACAATGGGTCGGTTTTTGAGACCCACCCCGATTCAAAGCTGTAATGAAGTTCACGGCCCTTTGGCCGCCGGGAAGGAGGCGGAGAACCGAAGCAGTTTTAAAGTGATTTATTAATGACAGTGACGGCAGCTCAGTCTAAACCAAAACAAACGGACGGCAGATCCTCACGGAGACTGCCGTCAAACTGAAAGCAAAAGTAACTGTTTTGACTGGGATGGACAGTTCTTGGATCTGTTCTATTCATATTGAACCATCATCCTAGTTTTAAAAACGTTATATTAAAATACTTATTACTCTGTAAATAATTGCACTTTCATGCAAATGATGATAAAAGTGAGTTAACAGTCTGGCATCTGTCTGTGTCTTTATATATACTGTATATATATATATATATATATATGTATATGTGTGTGTGTGTGTGTGTGTGTGTGTGTCTGTGTGTGTGTGTGTGTGTGTGTGTGTGTGTGTGTGTGTGTGTGTGTGTGTGCGCGCGCGTGCGCGCGTGCGCGCGTGCGTGTTTGGGAGGAGGGGGGCGCCAATGGATAAGTTGTGTCAAAAGGGAGGCCCACTGTCTTAGACTTTGAAAAACCCTGCGTTACAACATCGGATAGAATAGCTGATTGTCTGTCTCAAAATATTGAGCAGTGAATAGAGCATGTTGTCTAAGTGTGCTGTCAAGATGATTCGACTTTGCATCACAGCAGTTGCATCCATTATGCAGTTAATGGTTGAGTCTAGTTGTAAGTTAGTCTAGGAAGAGTGCATGGCCTTGCATTTGAGAGCTTTACAAAAGCATTAAACGGACTAGTACATCTACATATTGTCACAGTCGACCTTTCGTAATAAAAAGCACTGGTTTAGAAGGCTGAAAAACCAAAGCAGCATGACTAAAAGATTTTATATTACTTAAAAAGCATTTTCACAGCACTATAGCACGGTGATTCTATTGCATTTTATCCTGATTGGATTTGCTCCTTTTTTTAATGTGAATTGATTCAATATGTAAATTGTGAAATACTGTACTCTGAAATACACACATTGTTTGTCAAAAAGCATTTTAATAAATTCAGTAGATGCCTTATCAATCTTTTCAACTGAAGTGGTGGAGAGGTTTATATTAACTAGAATAAGCTATCTTTATGCCATCAGATTAACATAGTTAGCTCCTGGGGCATGTTGTGGACAAAATAAGGGCTAAAGTATAATTAAACTTGACAAAAGGGAATGACAGAGATGCATTTAGAGCTTTATTTTGAAGCTTCAATGTACATGAAAATGGCAGGAATTAATGTCCACTACTGCATAAACAGATTGGTGTCCTTTCACTATAGAAATGGCAGAAAGAGCTAAGTGATATGACACAATCCATAAACGTGCATAAAACACTTATCGCAGTCTAGATGTGTTTGTTGCCTTGATATAAACATACTCTACAAATTTCTCAATATACATGTGCTAAAACTAACAAAAGGTACATATAAATAGACCTAATGCCTCTTCGTGTGGCACTGAATACATTTATAATCCATATATGCCAGATTTAGTCTCCTGACAAGCACTATGGTAATGCATGGCTTCCTGCTTCCCGTAACTGCTTCTTATTAGTGTCCCTGCTTCTACCATTTTTAAAATAAGAGTCCCACATACATAATATATTTAATACAAGCCTACGTAAACTTAAAAATAAGACTTGCATATTAACAATGTTTGATGTTTGATTAATGGATTGTCAGAGTCAGTGTTTTGTTCCGATTGGCCTGATTTTAAATTTAAAGAAGTTAAATGAGAGCTAGGAAACAATAGTGTTTGACTCTCAATGTGTCATTTCGACTTACTGAACTCTTAATATTCAGCTATGCTTCGATATGTCCAGATTTTCATTCCAATGCACTTTGAACTGCCAATGTAGAGTTTATTCAACTTGCCATCATTAGACTATTGTGTTAAAAGTCCAGAATGCTCACTATAGTTTATTAGTGTATACAGTTTCTCGATGTCGGTCATTGGGGCATTGACATGCATCCCAGCTCAATGTCTTTATTCTTTGATTGCTGATTGTGCCATAATTGTGTGACGAAGGCTGACCTAATTCAAAGTCTTCTTCGAGAACGGTGTACAAATGTGTCCTTTTCCCCCAGGGCACGAAGGGTAGAACAAATGGATCATTCACAGTCTAGCATATGCAAAAGTGAATTTACTTTATGTAGGTTTGTGAAGGATGTAAAACTGGAATTACTGATCTTATTTCAGGCCGCTCTTTCTTTCAGGAGACAACACACTGTTTGATCTTTTAAAAATTGCTGAACTTTTATATTGATAGACTGCTAGATTCTACATTATATCAAAGGCAGTATCTAAAAAGCATATTTGGCGCACTTTAAACTACTCTCTAAAATGATGATTTAAACACCTTCACAACTCAAATACTGATGAGATGTAAGATAACTTCACATTTCTGCCTAAAAATCCTCCAAAAAATGTCCTCATTGCCTTCTTCGCTGTAATTTCAATTACAAACACTGTTAACTGAGCTTAACTTGTCAAACCTGTGACAATGCCGTGCTGTACAGCTGTGAGGGCTTTGTGTACAGAGTGATGAGTGGCAGAGACTGATGCTTCTGAGGTCATGGCCATGTAGACATGATTGCTTGTGCACACACCACGTGACTTCATGAGTGGTCCTATTACTCCGGGACTTGCAGAATCTGCTCTGGTCCAGTTCTGCTGCCTTTTTTTTCCTCTCCCTTCAGAGATTTCATTCCATTTGCTGGTTGGTAAACCTCTTTTCACAGTCTTTTGTTTGTTTGTTTATCACCAGGAGATCCATTTAACACTTCAAAATCAAGAACATTCATCATAGAAGGTACATGGTACCCTCAGTGAGAGTTTTGACCTCCTGTCTCCAAAAGCATTTTATGGCTTTGATTTGTGATAGTCTGCCCTCTTTTTCCTGGTGTGAGAAACCTGACCATGTCCATAAAATGCTGAAGATTTCTAGACATTTCTATTTTAGGCCTGGTATGCCGTAGGACTGTCGAATTATTTGACTCTCCTGTCAATCTTGCAAGTTAAATTTAAAGAAGGTCATTGCATCTTACTGACCCATTTTCTTTGGTTTTCTTTCTTTTTTGTTGGATATTTACCATGCATCTTCATTCCATTTTAAAATATTATTCATTATTTACAGTAGTTTCCTTAGAAAAGCACTTGTCATGTAGGTTCTGTGTGGATTGTTTTGGGCTTTGCTTACTTTTGTTAAATCAGTTTGGACATAAGTAAAGCTGCAGATGTTATACTGTACACAAGTAAAGAATTAAAACACAGCGTCTGATCATACAATATGCTCTAGCCTATTATTCTTAAAGCTAAAAAAGTATATTTTTGCAAGATGTTTGATTGCAGTGTCCCCAGCTTTCCTGCATGGAAATTTTTGAGCTGCTCTCTGTTTTGCATGCGCCTGTATTTGTTTTTGTCTTTTTTGATGTCTTTCTGTTGTCTCTTTGTCTAACAGTCATTGAAGAAGAAATTATTCACAAATCTTGAAAAAGACAAACGCAGCTTTACAGAACCATGTGTAATCTGATAAATTGCAAATATGCTGTCAAATGAATTTAGTGGGTCTTCATATACTAATATGTTATTCATTTGATTTACTAGAGATTTGTGAATGCTGTCCTTTCCTGCCTGCAGTGTTTGGTTTTACTTAATAAATGATTTAATTATTTATCATATGCCTTAAGTAACCTGTTTAAGTATGTCAATTTTATTTACTTATTTATTTATTCATTTCTGTTGTGAGATTTTTTTTCTTGCAAATGTGTCCTCAATAATAAACAATGTGAATAAAAACACTTTAAATACACTAACCGGTCACTTTAGTAGGTACACCTGTCCAACTTCTCATTAGTGCAAATTTCTAATCAGCCAATCACATAGCAGCAACTCAGTGCATTTAGGCATGTAGACATGGTCAAGACGATCTGCTGCAGTTCAAACTGAGCACTAGAATGGGGAAGAAAGGTGATTTAAGTGACTTTAAATGTGGCATGGTTGTTGGTGCTGGTCTGAGAATTTCAGAAACTGATTACTGGGCTTTTCACACACAACCATCTATAGGGTTTACACAGAATGGTTTGAAAAAGAGAAAATATGCAGTGAGTGGCAGTTCTGTGGGCGTAAATGCCATGTTGATGCCAGAGGTCAGAGGAGAATGGCCAGACTGGTTCAAGCTAATAGAAAGGCAACGGTAACTCAATTAACCACTAGTTACAACCAAGGTATGCCGAAGAGCATCTCTGAATTCACAACTCGTCAAACCTTGAGACAGGGAAGCTACAGCAGCAGAAGACCACACCGTGTGCCACTCCTGTCAGCTTTCATTCAAATGGTAGGGTTAGAATTTATGATGTAGTGGTGTGGGGGATATTTTCTTGGAACGTTTTGGGCCCTTTACCAATTGAGCATTGTGTCAATGCCACTGCCTACATGAGTATTGTTGCTGACCAAATCAATCCCTTTATGACCACAGTGGACCCATCTTCTGATGGCTACTTCCAGCAGGATAACACCCCATGTCATAAAGTAAGAATCACCTCAGACTGATCTATTGAACATGTCAATGAGTTCATTGTACTTAAATGGCCTCCACAGTCACCAGAACTCAATCCAATAGAGCACATTTGGGATGTGGTGGAATGGGAAATTCGCATCATGGATGTTCAGCAGACAAATCTGCAGCAACTGCGTGATGCTATCATGTCAATATGGACCAAAATCTCTTAGGAATTTTTCACCTTGTTGAATCTTTGGCACAACATATTAAGGTAGTTCTGAAGGCAAAACAAGGTCTTACTTGGTATTAGTAAGGTGTACCCAATAAAGTGGCCGGTGAGTGTATATTGTGAACTTACATATTAAAAAAAGAAAAAAAAGAAAATGTATATAAGAAATTATATAAAATGTATTCTGTATATTTCCAATTTCAGGAAAATCTTTGAAAATGTTGCTAAGCATGACATTTTACAAGGCTGTACTTTCACTTAAAGAAACGTTTGATGGAATTCATTCAGTTCAGTTTTATGGTGCTTCTAGTACTTTAAGCTGATTGATTTCTTACAGTTTCATAATGTGAATTATTAATGCCTCAGTGTGTAATAATATTATGACGCTGTAGATTATAGGCAGGCTTCTCTGCTAAATGTCAATGAAATGCAGCCTTGTGCAGATGTCATGCAGTCGAGATTCACACTGATTTATTTTCCACCCACTACAAAACTCTTTGAGTAGACTTACTATAACATGCGTAACCTTCAGGCCATTTTAATGCTCTGTCACTTTGTATAAAGAAAATATGATAAATGGCCTTTGTTGCTCTTAGCCTTTCTCAGAATCTACTTCTGCTCCACTTCCATTACTTTACTGGTATATTCGTCCTTGTTTGTCGGGTCATCTTACACTCTATATCTCATCTGCTTTTGTCCCTCGGTCCCGCAATGTCTGAATGTTGTACTGAGTCTGATTGTACACATTTTTTTGTTGGCAGAGACGGTTCGAGCAATGACGCATGTGATAAACCAGGGTATGGCTATGTACTGGGGGACATCCCGCTGGAGCTCCATGGAGATTATGGTGGGTTTGAAAACCTGTTGTATTTCTATTGAAAAAAAAAAAACATCGGGCAAAAATGCATTTAACAGTCTTGTGTCTTATGGCAATGTTTCAGCATCTCATTAGCTGTAACTATAGTCTTTAATGTTTCAAATTATAGAGTGATAGTCTAATTTAATTATAATATGTTTGTATGTAAAACTTAAAATAATAAATATTATTTTTAAAGAAGTTATGTTTCATGTGTTCAGACATTTATATAATTTTTAGTACTTATATCTTTCAAAGCTTGATGGAATAAACAATGAAAATGTCTTCTGATCAATTGTAATTTTTTTTAAGCAGCCAATCAAATACAAACAGCTGCGGATTAAAATTAATAATGTTGTAAATAATGTTCCAAATGTCCTCAACATGACTATATTTTTATTGTGAATATGGAAAAAATATCAGATCAGATTTAGCTCAAACTTGCATGTAAAAAAATTAAGTCAGAGAAACTCTGAATTTGATGCAGACACCAAAATGGTATATCTCTTCTTTGATTTATGCATGTATATAAATGAATCTGATAGCATAAACGACGATGAATCAGTGTTTATATTTATTTATTTTAATTTCAGGAAGCGTATTCAGTGGCTCGACAGTTCAATCTGATCCCTCCTGTCTGTGAGCAGGCCGAATATCACATGTTTCAGAGAGAGAAGGTGGAAGTACAGCTGCCTGAACTCTTCCATAAGATAGGTGTGTGTGTGGTAGGTCACTGTAGGTTACCACTGTTAAGGTGGTTTAAAAGGACATGTCCTGTGTCCTTGCATATCAAAACGCTTATAAATCATATTTAATGGTGTCTTTTGATAATCAGATTTTACCCCACGTTTCCTGTGAAGGTTGATTGGATTTTTGGATTCCTGGCATGCTTGGGTCACTTTAGATTTGTTGTTTTTATCGGCTATTTTCTTTCTTTTGTCTGACATAAAAAAAATCTTGTTTTTCTCTCAGCTGTTGCCATTTCATTATAGTTTAATCAGAGAGACACCCGCGTGTCTACTGTGGATCATACCTGTCAACCCTCCCGTTTTTCCCAGGATTCTCCGGTATTTTATAGTTCTATCCCCCTATCATCCCATAAAGGTATTTTCCCGTATTTCTCTCGTATTTTTAGTCTTTCTCTGACAGGTGACAATAAACATTAAAGAGCTGACCCACCCTATACGAAACCCATACCGCCAAACCACCAGGGGCCGCCCCTTGCTCTTAAATGTGAGTCTGTTCTGTCTGTGCTTTCGTTTTATTGAGGTATGAAAATAAATAAATATAAAAATGACAGGATTCCCTTACTTTTCATTACAGGTGCCATTGCGCATCCTATGCAATTCTCAAAACATCATATAGCAGTGCGTGACTGTCAGCTGACGTACTTCATTGTGATAAATAGACAGTGTTTCCCAAACGGGTTCTATAACGTTACTCACGTTTTGAAGCAGAGTGAAAGTCTGGGTTTTGGGTGCGTGTTTGAACAGACTTATAAACATAATTAACAATAATTACATCTAAAGATGTCGATCTTGTAGTCCCTTATTATGGTGGGCATATCCCTTATTTTCACATCCCAATGTTGACAGGTATGCGGATCAGTTACTTTTTAAATGTGTGTGCGTCATACATCACACACCAAGATTCATTCTGATTGGACATTTTCCAAAAAACGTCCCTCACTCACATTCTCGTTTTATTAGTCAATGAAAATGTCAGCATATTTTTATTATTATAGTTGTGTTTCGTTGTACATCACGAAAATTATGACGAAACCTTTTCGGCATCGAAATTAACACTGGAGTAAGGCCATGTAATAAAGGTTTTTGCGGTTTGAAGTACATTACGCCTATGGAGAGTCCCCATAAACTGTGTGTGCTTTCTCTAAACAATTATCTTTTTTTTGTTGCAACCTCAGAAATGAAAGTAAAGTAAGGCATGTGTGTGGTGTTGATGCAGGTGTGGGTGCCATGACGTGGTCTCCACTGGCGTGTGGCATCATCTCAGGGAAGTATGACAGTGGTGTGCCTCCTTGTTCCAGAGCCTCCCTCAAGGTATTTTTCGGATATTTGTGATCGTTTGTCTTCCTGCACTCCTGTCAGTCTGTCCTGACTGCTGTTTGTGGTGGTTTTCATGCAAATGTGGTGGCTTGGCTTGAGTTTTCTGTCGTATTTTGGGGTTTATTTCTCTCACTTTATGGCATTGTGAAGTATTTCCATCTGCACACATGTAGATAAATGGATGAACACTTTTGTGTTGTTCTGTTTCTTTCTATGTTGTGATATGGTGAATTTCTTTGTCTTGACACATTGATGTTGAATCCTTTTTATTTTCAAAATGAGTTTATTCACTGTGTATTACATTGTATGGATGAGAATAACAAAAACAAAACATGATAACAAGCATATTATTTTCTGATGTACACATCAATATTCATAAATACACAGTATTAGCTTGATACACTAATATGTTATTGGAATTATATTTAATTAGCAAATTTATTAAACCATGAGATATTAAATGTCAAGTATTCAGATTCAAATTTTACTTCTGCTTTATTTATACTTAAAATCATCAGTGAGTTTTGAATTCAGTTTCCTTTTAGATGAAATACTGTAATGAAGAAAGATGAAGAAAGACAATAATAGATTATTTTCTTTTTATGGTGCAGAGAATTTTTTCTTGAAGTTTGTGACATGGAGAAGAGGAAAATATATTCCATAAAAGCTTTTGACACTAACATAACATCTTAAACAATAAAACTAACAATACTCCACTCATGTTCAAATTTGCCGGAACATAAAGCATAAAATTTAATGTTTAAAACAAACATACTAAAGAATAACAACATATAATTAAACAAACAAATATATATCTAAATAAATGTACACTACTGGTCAAAAGTTTGGGGTCAGTAGGATTTTTAAATATTTTAAAATAAGCTTCTCCTGCTCACCAAGGCTTTATTTCATTAAAAAAAAAAAGTACAAATTGTAAAATTGTGAAATGTTATTGCTCTATAATATAATTGTTTAAAAGTAGTTTATCATTTAATTTAATCATTTATTCCAGTGGTTTTATTTTTTTTAATAAATATTTTATTATTATTTATTTATAGTACAGTGGAGATTTACAGACAGGAAAGTGTGGGGAGCAGAGATAGGGAAAAGGGGAAGGATGGGCAAAGGACCTCGACCTAGGAATTGAACTCGCGTCGCCATGAGCACCTGGCTGCTAAATCTAGACGCACTAACCACTAGGCTATTGGCATGGACATATTCTGGTTATTTTAAAGATGAATTTTCAGCTTCATTACTCCATTTAGAGTCACATGATCCTTCAGAAATCACTCTAATATTTATAATTATTGTTATTATTAATATTATAGTTAATATTATTTCTATTAATGGTAATAGTAATAAAAGCAATAATGACTAGAGTAATCATTTCATTTGAAACTGAATACAATAAGTAATAAATAAATATTTAATAAATAAGTATTTTATTTTAAATAAACAAATTTATTTAACTTTTTTTTTTACATTTAACAAACGCCGCCCTGATGAACAGAATTATTTATTGAAATATGTTCTTAAAATGGCAACGCAGCAAGAAGGTCACTGGGTCGCTGGTTCGAACCTCGGCTCAGTTGCTGTTTCTGTGTGGAGTTTGCATGTTCTCCCTGTGCTCGCGTGGGTTTCCTCCAAGTGCTCTGGTTTCCCCCACAGTCCAAAGACATGTGGTAAAGGTGAACTGGGTAGGCTAAATTGTCCGCATTGTATGTGTGTGTTTGTGTGTGGATGTTTCCCAGAGATGGGTTGCAGCTGGAAGGGCATCCGCTGCGTAAAAATGTGCTGGATAAGTTGGCGGTTCATTTCCCTATGGTGACACTGGATTATTAAAGGGACTAAGCCGACAAGAAAATGAATGAATGGATGACTGTTCTTAAAATGCAAAAAAAAAAAAAAAAAGTCCGGTATTCACAATGGTGGCTGGCACATCCAACAATAGCCTAGATGCAGAATTATTATTTAAGGTATAGCCAAGTCTTCATAAAACAGCTTTTCTAAACTGGTCTACTTAACAATCAGGAATTATAAGCCAGATCTGGAGTCAGCACCTCTTCTGGAGCAATCATGCTGATCAGAAATTTGCTGTCAAATGTATTTGAGCAGTGATGAATGCCAGTCATTTTGACACTTTAATGTTTCAGTAGTTTAGGCATATTTTTATTATAGTAATAGAAAAAATGTAGTTGGACAATGCTCAATAACACAGTATGTCTGCGCTTCACCCTTGTGAATGGTTTGCTTTTAAAGTTATTTTGAGTTTTAAACTAATAAACCGGCTACTTAAAAATAATTTTAGATTAAATAAATTCAGCAGAGTTTTCTTTAAAAATAATGTAAAAGTTACCCTTAAACTTGTGATCATTAAGAATTGTGTTTTTTCACAATTCTTTTATGAGATTGAGTAAAAAATGAATCTGTAGTACTCGAGTGTAATACATAAACCATTTGCAAGAGCACTTGCATACTGTAAATACAATAGGATTTGTTTCATGCGCCCTCGACAGGCAGCAAAAAGCAGCTTCTGTAAAATAATCATTTATGTTTAAAACACAGCCTGTCCTATCGTGCATACGTGAGCAAAAGTTCAGTACTTTTAGGCTGCGGTTGCCCGTCACACACAGTACCCTCCCATCAGCACCCCATCATAACAGCACGTTTGTCTGGTCACTGTCCTGTATGTGTGCAGATACTGTATGATGTTGACAAACACAGCTCTCCAGCAGCCTGAGCAGCTGTGCTGTGTGTTTGAAACAGGGCTACCAGTGGATGAAGGACAAGATCCTGAGTGAGGAAGGCCGCCGTCAGCAGGCGAAGCTGAAAGAGTTGCAGGCCATTGCGGAGCGGCTGGGCTGCACACTGCCTCAGCTGGCCATCGGTAACACTGAATGGGCCCTGCTGCTCTCTCTCTTTCTGTCTGTCTGTCTGTCTGCCTGCCTGGAGCTCAGGACAGGCCGTGTGTCCTCCCCGTCTGTCTCCTGCCTCTTGTGTTCTGGGGTCTGGTGCTGAATAGTCTTGTGTCTATAGAATGTGTGTGATATTTGAGGTTTCTGTGTGCCAGTCTGAGGCTTTATAGTATTGTAGTCCACTCACTGGCTGGATGCCGTGGGATAGTTTGCCTGATAGCTTGGCTCTTTTGGCTTCTTCTAAGAAATGTTGAAACTACACTGTAAAAACATCTGTTAATTAAAAGTGTCAGTATTTTGTGATTCACAAGTGTTTTCTGTTTATTTATTGAATTGCATTATGGGACCTTGATCTCTGCTTTTTCAACTTTTGATATTGAAAAATTCAACTCAGTTTAACAGTTACTTTTATTGACATTTTGGTAGTTTGAAATAATATAATGTATAAGATTATAAGATAAGATACACTGTAATATGGGGAAATGAGTCTGTAAAAGAACAGAAAATGTACTGGCACTTTATTACAAGGTTTTTGTACCCTAATATACAACACCAACCCAGGCAATCTATCACTTTAAACTATTACAAATGTTATTAAAAGTCACCTTTTTTTAATTGTCAAGGTTAAAAGTTGTTGGATGATAGATAAAGGTCACGTGAATCACAAAATATGGAAAACTGCTCATTTCTGTATATTTTCAGTGAACATTGCTTTGGGAGCAACAAACTTTGTAGAGGAGATGTAGGTTTCGGGCAGTAGCAGTCGCTTGGTTTGGGCCCCTATATGGAAACAGATTTCACCCCCCAAGTTCCATTTCTAAACAATAAAGTTGAGGATGAAAATAGTTTTTATTATTTATCATAATCCATTTCATATTTTAGACATTTATTACTCACCCACTCACTCACTCACTCACATTCCTTTGCCTTATTCTCTGCTTTATCAGCTGAAGGAATCACCAAATTGTATTATTATCATCATCAGCAGCAGCAGCATAATCAGCTTTATATTTTTATATTTAGAAATTATTAAAGAAATTATAAATTGCTAATTATTTAAAACACTTTATTACTCACTTTTCTTTGGGTTAATCCCTGTTTTGGCAGTTGAATTAACTGCGAAATGTTGTTGTTGTTGTTGTTATTATTATTATTATGGTTGTTGTTGCTGTTGTTGTTATTGTTATTAATTATTATTTATTATTTTTATTATTAATTATTAATAATCATCATCATCATCCTCATCAGCACCATCAACTTTATATTTAGAAATTATCATTATCATTATCATCATCGTCATTATTATTATTATTATTATTTCTAAATATAAAGTTGATGGTGATGATGAGGATGATGATTATGATGATTATTATTGTTATTATTATTAATGATAATCATCATCACCATCAACTTTATATTAAGAAATTATTATCATTAATATTATTTATTATTATTATTATTATTACATAATTGAGAAGTACATTCTAGTAATATATTCTGACACAGTTAATTCAAGTTTAAGTAATTGAATTCTCAATTAAAAATTCTAAAATGTTTTAGTATTATCATCTTCATCTAAAGTTATTTTACTACCTTTAAGCTCAGTTTACTAAAATGCATTCAAGAGTTCACACTTAGATATTGTTTGACAACTGTTAGCAAGTTAGCAGGTTTGGCATGCTGTCCCGGGAGAGAACCCTGAGCTCGGAGATAGTTGAGCTTAGGGCTCCCGCCTGGTCCACAGAGCATGTGAGGGTAGTACGAGAGCAGGTGGTTCTCGAGAGCTCCCCCTGGTAAAGGAGGAAAGGAGGGGAAGGGGTGGATGGGGGGTTTCTTCGGGAAAAAAAAGAAGATAAGGAAGTAGTTCTAACTAGGCTACTTATAGTGAGTTTAGATCAATATGATTGGCTAGCTAATGCGTGTAGATTAGTGGCCAGCTGCAGTCAATCATATCACATGCTCCTCTCGGAATTAGTTTGTGAAACTTCACTTATTGAAGTATGAAGAAGCTCAACGGATTTAGTGTAAGAATTAAGAAACATACATTATCATTAAAGAAAATCAAACCTAAAATAATCTTTCTTTTTGTTTGCTGGTTGTTTAAAACGTAACAACAGTCAGCTTAGTTATTACACTTGCTTCAGTGGTAATCGGTTAGTTCAAGTTTACTGCCTACACATGTCAGGACTCTTTCTTATACACCTACCTGTGTCTTTCTTCTGCTCGCTGCTTTGACATTGTTGGTTATATAAAATGCGGTCAGGCCTGAATTAGCCGTGAGGTTCTGCTTGAGCTTTGACTCCATGTTTGCAGATGTACAGTAGTGTAGTAGTGCAGTTCAGGGTTTGGTGGTCGCGTTTACAGTTGTGTATTAGTACAGTGGTTTGTGGTGTTCAGATTTGCAGATGTACAGTGGTGGAGTGTTTATATGTGTGTGTGTCTGTGCAGCTTGGTGTCTGAGGAACGAGGGTGTGAGTTGTGTTTTGCTGGGGGCGTCCAGCACCGATCAGCTCATGGAGAACATTGGAGCAATTCAGGTGAGACACACATCAGCTAATAGATTTATTCTGTGCACTGTAATGCCATTGATGGAATATGAACAGGTTCACTGTTCAAGTGAATTTACCGTGTCCTGTATTTTGTGATTGATGTGTGTTTTTGGTTTATTAACATTTTAAGACCTTGATCTCTGCTACAACTACCTTTAATTTTAAAGTTTAACCGTGTCATTTACTGACTTTCTTAGTTGTTTGGAATGGTGTATACAGTGGCCAAGAAAGCTTAACACGCTGCATTTTAAGAAAACACATGCAATTACAAAAACACCAGCGAATTAAAAAACAATCTTCATCAGTCTGACAGCACACGTGTTGCAAAATCTCACAACACAAACAACTGAAGAAACGCTCTGCATTTTGTCACAACACAAACAACTGAAGAAACGCGCTGCATTTTGTCACAATACAAACAACTTGCATATATCTATACATTTACTGTAAACCAAACTAAGACACTGAAAACACAGGATCATGAGCTGCTCATGAGAAAAGGAACACAGTGCTGAACTTTCTGTAAAGTTAAACTTATGCCATGTTTTGCCAAACATATAAACTTCAATTCTTCTTTTTTTTCAGGTTCTTCCAAAATTATCGTCCTCGATTATACATGAAGTGGACAGTATCCTAGGCAACAAGCCCTACAGTAAAAAGGACTATCGGTCCTAATAGAAAAGTCAATAATGGCACTGTGTCAACCTGCTTCTCTCTCTGAGCTTTGACTGAACTAAACATTGGCACACAGGACCAGCACTGTCACCGGTCCTGCAGGAGACGCCAAACCGCACACTACCTGGAGCCTGAGAAGAGCCTACAGCGCACAGGCATAGGGAAAGCATGCTCACGAACAAATACAGCTCGAACCGGCTGAATATGCAGAATGCCGCTCCAAAAACACCACCAAAAAAAAACCATCAAACTCGCTGTCTCTGATCCTTCCTCCCCTTGTAGAACACACTGAGAAGTGCAGTATTAGGGAATACTAGAAATGCATGAGATCCACTGGCCAGTGCACATGCTTTTTATCTGCGTTCTGGAAGACTAATATATTTGCAAGCTTAATGGGAAATAATAATGAAAGCGATGAAGCACTTTAGTTACTGGATGTAGAAAGTTGAACTAATCAAGGCTGTTGGATGTTATTTATCTCTAGTTTTATACGGAAACATCTCTGAATCAATAGCCAATATATTGCTCGTTTACAAGATCGCATTTATATTGCTATAGCTGTATCGTTTATGGATGCTTTTTAGTTATAGAAAGAGGAAGCCATTGTAAATTGTATGTAATACTGTAAGTAGACAGACGTTAGATTTGGGTTGGGAGATTGTAGGAAATATTAAAGGGATAGTTTGTTGAATAATGAACAGTTTGCTGTTGATTTATTTACTCTTTTAGGACCTCTAAGATGTTGGTGGATGTTTTTCTTCAGTACAACATTAGAGAAGATTATTAGCTGAAAACCGTGGTTCTTGTTGATTCATTAAATGCAAGTCGACAGCTACGAGCACTTTAAGAGTCAAAAAATAGAGGAGAAACTAAATTAATATATCCTGATAATACATTGAAGTCTCATGAAGCAAAATGATTGCTTTGTGAAAAAATTCCAAACATTTACACTGAAAAAAATTACTTTTGCTGCTTGTTTTAACAACTTAATTAAAATGAATTAAAAACACAATTCTTAGGGGCGTTTTTTTTTTGGGGACAACTTAATTGTTTTATGTTCAATCCACTTAAATTTGTTAAAACAGTTAAGTTTACTTGATTTGTGTTGAGACAACATGAAGGAATTATGTGGAACCCTGCATTAACCCCCCCCCCCCCCCCCCCAAAAAAAAAGCCTTTATAAATGTTATAATAATCTGGAGCAATTGCAGGGACCGTAGATTTATGAACTGTATTGTTTCTAATTACAAATGATATGTAAAATGTAGTAAGTATTGGACACTTTTTTAGGTAGTTTACTATGAAATTTTTTTTATAATGTGAACTTTTGGACACATTTGTGAATGAGAGTGAAGTGTTTCATATTTAAAAGGAGATATATTTTAATCGTGATCAAATCATCAAACTGTTTTGTGAAAATTAATAATCATGACTCTCTCCAACTCAAATGGATACAGTAAATTTATTTAAAAACAAACAATCTTTAGAACATTTTTTTTGTGTGTTTACCTGCACATCTGGTTTATAATCCAACATCAGAGGACTGCGAACAGTAATATTTGTTGTTGAATGTATACGTTGAATCTCAGATTGACTTCAAATTAAAAATAAAATTATAATATTTTTGGAATCTCTTATGTCAGCCAATATTATTAAATATGAACCAACTATTTCATTACATGGCTTGGTTTGATATTTCATTCATTTTTGTCCAGAATTAGTAATAAAAAATGTGACAATTGATTAGTAATACATTTGCACACTTTATAAATGACTGCATTTTAAGTGTTTGCTAAATCTTTTTATGTGAATCATATTACACGGAATCAGTTGTTTAAAGGTATTACTTTAGTTTTGCCTGTATATGTTTTCTGAAGTTTCTGGGTAGCTGTTGACTTGCATTTGATAAATCACAGAGAACCAGTTTCAGCTAAAACCATTCTGCTGAAAACACAAAAAAATTGCCCTGCACCTTGAATAACTAAATGAGCAGCAAATATTCATTGTTGGGTGAATGACACCTTTAAAGACATCAAAAACAGGCCTCAAAATGTGCAATATCTGAAAGTGTTTATTAACCCATTGTTCTTTTTACTTTATAAGTATTTTCTAAGAAACAAATGTCCTAGCTAAGTATACATGTTCATTTGTCAAAGCTTCGTCAGGCTAAAACCAAAGAGATTTCTGTGTGCTTTGCCCTGCTTTACACACCAGCCATCTTCTTTTCCCCACCTCGCTTTATTTAAAATGTTATTTAATAGCCATTTTCCTCAGCGTTTGGTGCATTGCCTTATTCTTATTTATTTGAACATGGAAACTTCTTATTTATTTTAATGAATGTCATTTGTCTCAATCATGTTCTTCACTGGATGTTTTCTGTTGTCAGTGTTGACAGAAACCCGTCTTTTCTAAGGCAATATTGTGGTGTTGTTTTTGATATTAAGTTCATTAACAGTAAAATCGTCGTGCTCGTACACTGTATGTGTGTCAATACCCCCTTTCTGTTGTTGTCCAAATGGCGCCCTCTTCCGGACAGAAATTCATCGCTTCACATACACGAGTGCTGTAAAATATACATCACTACTTCAAGAAAAATAGCCCTAAAATCAAACGATTTACACGATATTTACTATAGTATTTGCAAAACGGTGTAGCCTATCTAGTCTTCCTAGTGTAAGTTATTTTTGCATGATTTTTTCATAACTTCATATGTGTACAAGAGCAATGTCTCGGTGTATAAAACTGGTAAATCGTATCAACATCTGACAATTTAAATCAGCCAATGACTAAAACAGTGTTAATCTGCTGACAACGGATTATTAGATAAGATTAAATGCCTTACTCAGCGCTAAATATCTGAGCTGGCATCCATTTATTTAGCATGTTTATTCAGTAACATACTCTTGTATGCATTACCTATACAGTAGTGCCTACGCCATGTTAAAACCATCAGCGGTAAATGGTGAGCAAAAGCTGAGAGAAGCTTTGTAGAGTCATTTGTATGTTATTACTATAGTTATTAACGTCAGAATGAATGCAAAAATCAATTAAAGCAGATTAAATTATGACACTCCAATAAATGGATTTATCTAATTCATGTAGTCAAAACAATTGGCTGCAATGTACCTAGAAATTGAAGTGATAGTTCAACTAAAAATAATGTCCTCAATATTTACTCTCGACATGGTTTCAAAGAAAGCTGAAATACTTTTTGAAGAAAGCTGAAAACCTGTAGCCGAACCATTGGCTTCCAAAGTAAAAAAAAACAACAACTAGGCTTATGGAAGTCAGGGGTTACATGTTTCTTCAAAATGTAATTTGTTTTTAACACTTAAAAGAACCTCATAAAGGTTTACCACAAGTAACAAGAGACTAAATGATGATAGAATTTTCCTTTTTGGGTGAATCTATATTTTTAATTGGAGTAAAAGGTCTATATTTTAGTGGAGAACAACGCTAATGCTTGGTTTTGTGTTACAGTGTTGATCTGTAGTTGGAATATAAAATGTAGTCGAGAGAAAAATAAACTTGTACACATAAAAAAGCAGAGAGATTTTATTTACATCTAAAGCTTTCGGAAGTACAGTAGCACTTTAACCAAAGAGTGGAAAAGTAGAAAGCATTGCTTCAGTTGCCTTGAGGGCCATCATAAATGTCTTTGTGTTTGTTTAAGGCTGCATCTTTTTCATGTGAAATGTTATGGTATGTTCGGTTCAAATGTTGTCATTTGGGAGCTAAATGTTATTTAACACAGCAAGGATAGAGGTTGTTGAAAGAGTTCATGCTAAACATGTATTTATATATAAAAATGTCCAATAATGTCAATAAGAGAAACTGTACAGGAACTTCATCTGAAATGTTTTGATTCTGATTTGATAAGAATAGACTGTTCGAATTTCTTATTAACTAAGTGTAATATGACCATTACTGTTAAAATATGGTTATGATTTCTGTAGATACATAATGGGATGGTTTGATAATATGTATATAATCTGATTATATAAATCTACTGTATTGGATTTAATGATCATTATCACATTTGCCTTTATTTCCTTTTTGTCAATTATTACATTGCTTATGACATTATGCTTGAAGAAAAAAAGGTGTACAGCTTCAAACAGCTGAAAATAAATCATTCTAAAATTCTTTAATTTAGTCTCTGTGTTTGTGTATTAAACCCATGAGGAAGGAACACATTTATTTATTGCTTAAAGATGTCCAAATATGAATCAAGTTTTTACTTGAAATATTTACATTTTGTAATGAATATTGCATGTTATTTAAAATGGAATTGTATTAAAAATGCAACAAAAACCAAAAAAACTCATATATCGTGTCATTATCCACCAGAGAGCATCTCAAACATAATACAAATTGTTTAATTGTGAAAAAATGTTTAACTATTACAAGAACAAAATATTAAAAGAAGACTATAAGTGCTTAAAAACTTTGGCCTGGCTTTCCTGCAGAAATATTGAAATACACATTTCCTTTGAGCTCATAATCTGCATCAAGAATGCAAATTATTCATTTGCATATTGCATTGATGTAGTACTGTACAAAAATAAATCTGTTACAGAATGATCCTGAATTTACAAAAATAAGATTGTACAGAAGCATTTGCATATGAAAACCTTTGTAATCTTGTTTTTTTTTTTTTTTGCACAGTTTTTTTTTTTAAATCTATAGCATAATAACAGTGTAAATGGGGGGGGGGTTATAAAATTATAGTTATAAAATTGTTTGAAATTTGTTTGAGGAATACGTGAAATATTTTATTATAAATATGGAACAATAAAACAAATAATTAGATTTTATTCAAAACACAATACCAAATGAATTCAGTTGTGGCTCTGAGAACTGTCAAATGGTCTCTGTATTTTTTTTTTCTACAGACGTATATCAACAAAAATATTATACACCAAGAAACATGTTCACTGAATTTTGTGCACACACTGTATATTCCTAATGAAAATGCTACTTTTAAAAAGTTCATCATGAATGAAACAAGACAATTGACATATTGTACAAAAAAACTTTTTAAAGTAAACAAACATTTTGGGTAACATGAAAATACCATTTCTATCTTTCTACTGCAAAAATGCCATTTTTATTTCAGCATTACATGCCATTTCTGCAGAAATTATTCAAGAAACTTACTATTAATTTCGGAATGAAAATGATATCTAAACCACAGTTTTGTTTTGTTTTCAGTGCACATACTCAAACTATCTTTCAACAACTGCACATGATCTTTTAGGATCACGTTGTAGGAATGGCATTATTTATTTACAATTATTATATTCATAAAACAAATATTGCTAAAATCAGTTAAAAAAAAAATCGTAAAAAGGTTGCGTATGTCCTCATCCAGGAGATGTTTGATATCAAAAGTCACCTTCACGTTGGATTTCCAATTTTCCATGAAAAAGTTGATCATTTATGATCATAAATGGAAGTTAATCCATCTAAACTGCTTCAAGAGCTTGTCCATGTCAGTCACTTGAAAAATTGGTTGACCTTTGTATTTAAAGATCTGAAGAAAAAAAACACTACTGGGCTAAAATGTTAGCCAAAGGTCTACTTGCAAATTCAAGGCAGTTCAGATTACAGTCTGTGTTACTGAACTGCATAGGCAACACAGCTATACTGACGAGTCCTTCCTTTTACTTTTGCTAGCAGACAGGAGCCCTGTAAT